AGGTGAATAAGGCACCCCAGATCCCCGCTCCCATGGGACTTACATTATAAGAAGGGAGATAGATCATGAGCACAAAATTATAAACAGACAACATATCAGATGCACAAGAAATTTTACTAAGTTGGTATGTTGAGTTCTGATTGAGGGAGATCTCCAGGGAGATCTTACAGAGGCAACACGGGAATGAAAGATCAAATCAATGCAAAGACCAGGGGACGAGCTTCCCGCCAGAAGGAACTGCCAATGGAGAGGCCCTACGGTGAAAACAAGATTAAAATGCTGGGGGACCCCAGAAAAAAGCAGACAGGCATGAGGAAGATAAAGCAGCTCTATGTCATGGTAGGACTGTGTACTGCCAAGGTGCGGACCTCACATTTCATTCTCAGTGGGTGGGAATATAGTAGAGTGTTTTAAGAAAGGAAGAACAGTTGAGAAGTCAGGAGACAGAGACTGGAGTGATGTGTCCACAGGCTATGGGAAGCCAAGGATTGCCAGCGACCAGCAGAAGGCAAGGAAGGATCCTCCAGTAAAGCCTTCAGAAGGAGCGTGGTCCTGCTGATCCCTTGATTTAGGACTTCTGGTGTCTGGAAGTGAGACAGAACAACCTTCTGTTGTTCGTTAAGCCATCCACTTTGTGGCTGCCCTAGGAAACTCAGCACGGTACAGTGAGCGCATGTGTATTAAAGCTCATCCAGGTGCCTGGGTGGAGAGTGAACTGACAACAAAGAAGAATCAGGAAGGTGCGATCACAGAGCATGAGTGTGTAGGTAAAGAAGTGAGGGGACTCAAGGCAGAGCCCCAGAGGTCCCCAACTTTGAGAGGTAGGTCAATGGAGTAGGAAGAGCCGGTTGAGCAGAAGCTTCCAAGAGTTTGCTTACACCCATCTCTACAAGAAGCGTTCTAAGAGCTTCAAACATTGACTTAGACATCAGGTGACGCAGAGTGGGGCCAGCCGCTCCTTCCATGGGAGAACCACTATTTACAGGACTATTGCCTTGAGCTCTGGTCCAGATGAGTGTGCAGAATGAAGAGAGCCTTCTGAGGACTCCTCCACCACAGACCCAACACCTGCCCAGGGAACACTTACACAAACGGAGAGCCAGGACTTGTGCGTCCCAGAGACAGTTCAGGATCGCAGGGAGATCGTACATCCTCTGTTCCTTTAAAAGCACCGATTCCTAATCCCCGCTCTCAAATTAGCTATGTGCACATTTTCAATATTTTAACAGCCCTGCTGGAATTTTTACATTTAACCGCTATATGTGGTCACAGGCCAGTGTAAACGTTCTAACATTTTGTTGTTCATTTATTTATCTTGCTCTTGGCGAAAATCCTAACAGCTCAGTATGGGAACGCTGTCAGATTAACTAAAAGCACTAATGGAGGCAATGCTTCCTGAATTCTTATAGTGGGAACATGGATTGTTACTTGGTGGGCTAGGTTTATTAGGTTGACACAATCATTCAAAACACGTGGACAGTGGAAAGAAAATTGATTTAGGAGATTCTCAGAAGTAAATGTATCAGGATCTGTTAGGATGAAGACATTGCCAAGACTGCTACAATTTCACTAGGGTCATATTCAAAGTCCACACTGGACCCTACTTCTATCTCTCAATTTCCTTTGATGCCTTTTGACCAACACGGTTTACCCTTCTCTAAATCTAAACAGGAGATTCATGCTGCAAACACATTTCCTTCAAAAAAAAAAAAAATGAGAGAAAGTATTAATGGTGTCACTATTCCTTCACCCCTATAATATTACATTATTTTTTTTAAATGAAGACTACCGCAGGGATCTTCTGTCCCTACGATTAAAAGGAAGATCGTGTTGAATTCTGGAGAAGGATGATTTAACTGTAGCCATTCTATCCAATTCACCCGCAGATTCCATTAGGCAAGTCGATTTGACTGGGTAATATGGTAGAAGCACTCACTCATACGCTAAAGATCTTTCCGAGAGGTTTTGATTGAGACTAAAAATCATTAACTGTTCAGAAAAAGATGCTCTTTTGATCACGGAGTTTAAACAGCGCGATTCCTCTGTGTATGAGCGTGCTGGAGTTGACAGCTTTACAAAACGAGATGTGACACTGAGAAGAGTCTTTGGTCATCTCCTACGGCTAGAAGGAAACCATATCTTCCTTTTAGGGCAGCCGCCTTTTAACAATGTTGCCCTGTAAGCCTGATTCCACCTCGATCTGACAAAGGGATGATGCTTTGCCACAGCAACGTGGCTGAGATATTAACACAGCGTCATACTCTGGTGGTATTTCTAGCACTCAAGCGAAATAGCAAAACACTGCTCACACATCCAATATGTTCCTCTTAAAAAAGAAAATCAGGGAGTAACTCCTGACATGCTGTTAGGGTTCTATGATAACCCTGGCTTGCGACCATCCTTCGGGACCCCTGACACTCTCTTTCCGACCCACACCACTGATATCTCCACGAGAGTCAACTGTCACAGCGAAATGCTAAACCCATCTCGTCTTGCTCCTCACGCATCCCAAGATCCATCGGCCAGGGGTCATCTGGTCATCTCCCTGAACCGACGCGCTTCACGGCAGTCATAATGTGACTTTCTTAAATCACGTATTACTTTGTAACCGCTTCCATTACTGTGATTTACATATGTGTCTCACCGGCAGCCGCTTACCTACTTTGGAACGTCGCAGGCCTTCAGCGGAAGAATAAATAAAAGGCTGAATGCGTGCATGCAATACAACCCATCACTCCATCCTTAGAGACGCTGTCAACTCTAAAATAAAATAAAAACGACTCTCTCTACACAGGCCATAACCTCGCTGAAATACGGCGATACACCTAATCTTAATCTACGGGAGTAGAAGTTTTCACTTCTCCCTACACTAAAATAAGAGGATGAACAGAGGGAGGGCTGGTCGGAAGAGGGGCTGCCGGGGATGGTTAATCCTGCGCCGAGGAAACATGACGGGTCATTCACCCGACCCGCATCAAACAGCATTTGCGTGCCGCCCTCTGCCGAGGTAACAACGGCAAGCAAAGGAAAGGGCCGTGCACATCCTATGAAGGTCATCCAGACGGGCACTCAACAGGAATCTTTCTGTCCGAGGTTCCAGGGAAACAAACGTGTGAGCAAGGTCCCTGCCCCGAGGTGCTCCGAAGAGGACGGCAGACACACATATGAAGGTGTAAAGAGAAGTACATGGTAGGCATGTTTGGGACAGATAACACACTACCCTCTCTCCACCTCTCTGCCTCGCTGCTCTGTGACGCAGAGCGATCCAACTCCTTCTCGTTGCGGGACAAGCCGGGTGCTGTTTCTCACCCCCAGTGCTACGGTATTGAGTATGCGCAGAGCTAGACGCAGAACAAGAGAGCAAGCACGCACCGTGGCTAATTTCTTCCAGGCTTGCCAACTTTGCAAACATTTCTGGGGCCCCCGGGCCTCCTGAGGCTCTCCTTGTCGTATGCACCACTATTTCTTGTGCCTATAAATATTGATGCCTTTACTAAATTCCACGGTCTTGGTTTCCTGATTCCACACACTCAGTCACCCACCCACCCAAACACCGGCTGACCCTGAGTTCCTCCAGGGCACAGACCACATTTTACATTTATTTTTGCGTCAGGCCCAGGGCCAGATGCACAGCCCAATCAATATTTCTAAACCAATTAATGGACCAAAGCATCCTATTTATTATCCTTTCATATCTTTGGAGGTAAACTCGGATTCCCTGCATCCCTGGGAATCTCTGAAACATCCATATGAGAGAATATAAAAGGGCAATCAAGCACTTTTTCACCTTATGCTAGGGAAATTTTACAGTCACCTGCTTTCCTGGGTGTTACACATCTTGTTGTCTTAGGGAGGTGGTCCCCACCACCTGGGACACGATGAGTCACCATGGTCACCTCCACTCATCCTGCCCCACGGTGCAAAAACCCACAGCCACCGCAGATTCGGGTGGGTGTCCTAACCCTTAGCACAGATATGCCCCTGTGGGCCTGTCGTCTAAGTCTGTGGAATGAGATACGTATGTCTTGTATTCACCGAATGTGTGCACGCACGCTACAAGCAACCTGGGATCAGTGGCTGGGTCTGATCTACTTTGGACTACCTCACATCCCCAACGACTAGTCTGATCGGTCTTGGCGGTGGCTTAGCTGAGGCTGTGTCGGGAATGAAGCATGAGCCCGAAACGCTACTGCACATCGAGGTCGGCAGAATAACCATCTCCCAAAGAGGGGCACAGCCTCATCCTCCAGAACTGGTGCCTCTGAGACCGTCCACAGCAAAAGAACTTTGAAGACGTGATTAAGAAGTCCGAAAAGGGAAAATCAGCTGCATGACTGGGTGGGACAAGTAGAATCATAGCAGTCCTTCAGGAACCATATGTTAGAGTAAGTGAGTGAGGGAGATGACATTATGGAAACAGAGGTCAGAGAGAGAGAGGAAGGGAGGTCCAAAGACTTGTGCACTGTTGGCTTTAAAGATGAAAGAAGAGGTCACCAGCCAAAGAACGCAGGTGGCCTCCAGAAGCTGCAAAAGACAGGAAATCAACTGCTTCCCCAGAGCCTGCAGAATGACACAGCCCTGCTGTCACCCTGATTTTAGACCAGTGAGACCCATCTCAGACTTCAGACCTCCAGAACAATCACTTTAATAAACTATGTTGTTTTAAGCCAGAGGTCTGTGTTATTTTGTCATAGTGGCAACAGGAAGCTAATACACAGCTTTATTGTTTTAACCAGCTATCCAGTATAGAGGCTGAGTTTACCCTGGGTGAACATGCCTTCATTCCAATGTCCTGACCTACAAAGTGTGCTTTTAATCTCCGTGGGGACCGTTAACAGAAACGGCAACATGGTCACTTCCCTGGTCAATGCCTGCAACGCAGTCAGGTCCTGTATGCTGCGAAGTAGCAGAGGGACAACATCAAAGCTCAAAGATCAAGGCAAAGTGCCCAACAGGTGAGCTGGGAGGCCAGAGCTTACCGGTGTCGGCAGATTCCTCACCTTTATAGATTCCGTTACTGCCTCCGTGGACTTCTCCCTTGGTGCTCACCTCTTCCACATGGGCTCCTTGATCCGAGGTGAAGTAGACGAGGGTGTTATTAGCCAGTTTCAACTCATCGAGAACATTCAAGATCTGCCCTGAAGGGGAGAAATGTTCAATTTTAATACAGTTCCATCTTTACAAAAGAAAGGGAGATCATTTGCTCTTGACTTCTCTGAAGATGGGAAGGAAATGCTCCCGTACGCGGCAGCTAACCCACATTGATGCCAAGAGGGATGCAATGCAATCAGAAAGCCCATTTGTGGCAGGGTTCTTAGAAGGTTTAGTCATTGAACCAAGTGTCACCTAGAAGCACCATTTGAAACTCTAGGCATTATGGAGTGGTTCTGTACAGAGACATGAGAAAGCATTCTGGAAAATCAGGCCCTGAGATCATGACCCACTTAGAGGAAGGTGCAATGGGTTCTGAAGATATAAAGAAGTCTACCAGTTTCCCTTATTCAGTGCAAAACACCAAACCATCAATGTTCTTCTTCTTTTTTTTTTTTTTTAAAGATTTACTTATTTATTTTTGAGAGAGAGAGAAAGCGAGGGTGGAGGAAGGGGCAGATGGAGGGAGAGCATCCTTTTCCTTCTACTTTCCTTTTTCTTGTCACATCTTATTCCCCACACCTAAGATTGTATACTATCCGCCCACATAGCAATGCTTCAACACAATCACAGTTTCGACAAAAGCAGTAAGAGTAACAGGTACCATCTACTGAGCAGTCTCTGCCCGCAAATGACTATTACACACTCTCTTATTTAGACACTTGAAACCCTGTGAGTAAACAGTGTAGGCTTCCTTTCTCAGATGGGAGGAACTGCGCTCTGTAAGGATGGTGACCTGCTCAAGCTCATACTAAGTTAGGAAGTTGAAGAGCCAGGAAGTAAGGGTTAAACCTTATTCCAAAGGCCAGATTCGAAAACCTTACATAGTTAACTGGATGGACTCAATGAGAATCACAGAGCACTAAACAACATATAAGGGGAGAAAAATAGAGACACCTACTGAAATACTCCTGGATAAAATGGTATCATAGCCGCTTGTCTTCTTCAAATTAGTAGAGGAAGAAGGGAAGGGAGGATGGGGTATAGATTAAACAAGATTAGGCATGAGTTCACGGCTGTTCAATGCACATCAGGGACACATGCAAGTTTACTGCACTTTTCTGTCTACTTTCTTTTATGCCTAAATTTTCCATAAGAAAAAAAATAGATGCTGCTTGAAGACAGAAGGGGCTGAAATATGGATGATCTGATTAGGACGTTGCTGTCCGCTGTCAGATCAGAAGTAAATGAGGGTCAAACTAGAGGAACACAATTTGTAATCTCCACAGAGAACCATATACTCATATGCTGCCGGTTTCATTTCGTAAGTTAATGCATGCACTTATACTCTGATTGAGGTATTAGGGTCTGACTCCACTTTTGATGCTTGACTGCGAAGAGCTCTCAAGCCTCGCCAGTCCTTATTTGACTTGTGCCCAATGAGTCAATAAGAAAGCCTGGGTGCTGCCCCCTGCAGTGATGTGGGAGATTCAAGCTATGCCAGTCCCTGCCTGAATGCCCCACCCAGTCCCTGCCTCCTCCCACCATGAAAGGTCAATCATTCTCCTTTCCCATCGCTCTCAAGCTATTTTCAGACCAGCCTGGGAGCAACCTTGCTCTCCCACCCCCAGAAAGCCTCATTATGTGAGTAATAAACCTTTTCATAGACTCTTGCTATAAGTGTGGCATCATTAGTCTAGACATGGGAACCAAATTTGGGAGAGGGACCATCTCATTACTGCAGGATAACCCACAGCAACTGAAATTTTATAAGGACGCCAGGTATCCCTTGCAGCAGGGATAATAAGTGAATATGAGCACATCCTACCCGGCACATAGGTCATGCCCCAGTGGGTACAAGCCCTCTGCTTTGGGGCTGCACCTTTACCTATGTGGTCCAGAAAAGGAGGACAGGGGCTGCAGAGTCAACTCTCCACAGAGGTGGCACGGATGACTTCTGAAGCAAAAGCAAAACCCAAGTCATCTGTTACAAGACATATTTTTTGCTATTTCATTGCCAATGCCACCGGCTATGGTACGTTCAATCTTTCTCAATTTTTTAACTCATATAATAAACATTCCAAGAAGCCACACCATATACATAAATGCCAGACTCAGAACCAAGGAATAAGATGCATGAGGGCCATTTTAGATTTGTCTCCCATGATAAATCATTATCAGGCAGACGTTGATTGTGGTGTTATTTGGTACAGCAAAGCAAATCACCTGTGTGCTTGGGGATATTTGGCTCTAACACTAATTTAAGCTGTATCATTCTGAATATGGTAATTAGTTTAATCAGTTAAAGTAGGGAGCAGAAATAAGACAATATAACCCCCATTTATACTTTGAAGGAAAAATGCCCCTTTTGACTCATACAACAGTTTCTAAGTAAAATAATACAGACTAAGCAGTTAGCAGAGGACTGAAGATTTTACTTCCTTGTGTTGTAATTAGTATTTTGCAAAAGGGTGTGCAACCATGCACCTCCATTTCAAATATAATTCACCTTTCATATAAGAAACTTTTTTTATTATTTTTTAAAAAAATTTTTTTAAAGATTTTTTTTATTTATTTGAGAGAGAGAATGAGATAGAGAGAGCATGAGAGGGGGGAGGGTCAGAGGGAGAAGCAGACCCCCTGCCAAGCAGGGAGCCCAATGCGGGACTCGATCCAGGGACTCCAGGATCATGACCTGAGCCGAAGGCAGTC